AGTCAGGAGGACTTGAATTCAAATCCGGTTTCAGACCAGACACTTGACACTTATAGTTGTGTGACCTTGGGCATGTCACTTAACCCCGATTGCCTTGCCCAAAAAAAAAAAAAAGGCCAATCCAGAACTCTGAAACAAAAGGTTTCTGTTAACTGAGCCCTGAAAAATCCAAGCTCAACTTGAAATGCTGACAAGGAAGTAGTTGCGAGATCCAACCCTCATGTTACTCACAGCACGTGTGTGGGAAGGGTCTGAGAGCAGAAGACAGATGACCATGATCCCAGAATTACAGTCTCTACCAGGTCTTTCTTTAGCCATGGCTTTGAAGACAGAGTAAGGCGGGTATTTGGGGTAGCTCTACTTGACATCTACTATCTACACAGGTGGGGATCCAAACCCATTCAGTTTGGTTAGGTCCTCATATAATATTAAACACTACCCAGAGGAACATGGAGGTATCTTGTTCGGTTTTTCCATACGGCTTATTTCTGGTCTCTGTTTGACAAACTTCCCAGTGAATACCCCTATGTGCCCAACATGGCCCATGGTCCTGGTCTTGAGCCAACAGTCTCTTCTCTTTTTAGCTCAAGAGTATATCATAAGAATGAGTAAAGAAATCATCAAACTAAGAGAAGATTTCAACAGTGCTCTTCAAGTGAACACTACTGACCTCATTCCAAATGATGCCAACTCCAAGGAAGTCTTTGTCTTCAAACCAGAAAATTTTACAATAGAAAACGGCACTACCATCTTTCTTGCTATTAAGGCAACTGATAAAGCCAACTTGACATCACCTTTATCGAACATAGCTCGAGCATCTCTGCTCATTCCTTCTCCAGAAGATCCTTCCAGTCCCACTGGGATCAGCATTTCAATAATAGTGCTGTCAGTGGTTGGCGCAGTTATAGCCGTTGGTATCATTGCAAGTGTCACACTGTGTGTTCTGAACAAGAAAAACAGATAACAAGACCAAAGATGGAATAATAACAGAATCAGCACAAAATAAAAATTCTCTGAATTTTGTGGACTGATTGTACATTTGTACACAAACATTCTTAAAACAAATTATACATTTAATGTTAAAGGAATAAATGGATTAACTATAAATACTTGGGAAATATATCTAAGGTAAAAATATAAAAGTGTGATCATCCTTTTCATTCATTACCTCATTTTTTATTTGCTGCTAAATAAAGATAATTTTTCATATATATATATGCCTGAATACCTGTTTTTTTATTTGATTCTAAGAGATGTAGGAATTGAGAAATGAGATGGTAACTAATCTGATGCAAGGAGCTAAGAGCTTTTACAATGGTTCTTCTCTTTGGTGAGTCCACTAGGACAGTTATAAAGAAAATGAGAATTATTTGGAAGGCAAGAGGAGTGTTTCAGCCAAGGAAGCTGTTAATAAATAGCTGCAAGAAGAAGAATTTGCCCCCCAAACTTCACCAGCTAGTCAATCTGCTATATCCCCAAATCTATGAGGGCACCAGGATTCCTGGGGATCTTTTCACAGTGTGAAGCCAGCAAAGCCAGACCCACAAAATAACCACGCAGAAAGAGAAAGATATTTAGTGGAGATTATCAAAACAGAGCAATAGAATAAAGCTTCAGAAAGGCATGGGGGAAGGAAGGCCAGCTGTGAGGTCCAGCAGAGCTGGGTCCAAGTTCTGCAACTGACAAATACCAGCTATGCAAATCACTTAACTTTTCTGTGACCCAGGCAGCTGATGAAGACTGTGAGTAGCAGAAGAGCTGTTGGTCTGCACAGGTGGAGGGAACATCTCACCAGGAACTCCCTACACCAGCAATATTATGGGCTTAGTTTTTTTTTTTTTTTAATGAAAATTAGTCAATGAGGGGAATGCTAACTCTCCAGGGACCAGAGTGAGACCTGACCTGTTTTATGAAGGAAACTCATACCCTCAAACCTGTGATCTATCTGTGTAACACTCCTGTCCTAGTAGGAACTGGGTGGGAGAGGGATGCCTTCTTGTACTTCCCATCCAAATAGCTTCCATCTGACATCACAACTGCATGCAAAAGTGGGGACCCCTTATAATCCTCTCCGAACTCACACAGGCAAGTCCTATGGTGAGAGTCCATCACCAAGCTACATTCAAAACTTCCAGAAGTTACTAAATGCCAAAACTTGTTCTCCAGTGGCACACCTGATGAAAATTCAAGAGTACTTAAATCCTATCAAATAATAGAACAGTTACATTATTATGATGAGTTACAGGCAGCTGGTAACGCAATGGAGAGCTCTGGAACTGGAGTGAGAAAGACCTGAGCTCAAATCCTGCCTCAGACATTTACTAGCTATGTGATCCTGAGCAAGTCACTTAACGTGTCTGCTTCACTTTCCCCATCTGTAGAATGGGCATGATGATAGTACCTTACCTCCCAGAGTCATTTTGAAAATCCAGTGGGATAATAATTGATAACGTATATAGTGCAGTGCCTGGCCCATAATAAGCACTATATAAACGTTAGTTATAACTAAATGAATAATTCATTTATATAGCATCTAACATTTGCAGAGTTACAAAGAGAAGCTTACAATTTTAGAATAAGAAATCCATAATAAGTGACATTTCAATTCCATATTATCAGATTATGATAAATCAAGAAAAAGATAAACAAACTATGGAGTTGACCACTAAATAAGTCTGGTTTAGCATAAGAATAACATGTGAAGTCAAAAAACCTGAATTCCAATACTACACAACTACTACTGACAGATCCTTGCACAAATATCTTTGTCTCTTTGGGCCTTCAACTTTTGTATATGTAAAATAAGGAGGGGGGAAGGTTGGACTAGATTATTTCCAGATCTAAATCTTAGGGTAAAATAAGCTAAGCAGCAAATACATGGAGAGAATTTAATGGAAAAACAAGGAAGTACAAATCATTTTCAAATACACACAGAATTACAGTAGGAATAAATAATAAAACATGATCTAAAATTTTATTTGAAAACTTTAAACATACATCAAATAATTTTTAAACTGCACAGAATTATATCAATATCTGCAGGAAAAGCCTTTGACAAAATACAGTGCTCATTTATGCTGAAGAAAAATTAAAAAGCAAATGCATTAAAGGGACCTTTTCTAATTTGGTAAACAGTATAAATCTAATACCAGAAAAACAAACATGTCTCCATTTTTGTAACTGATTCCATTCTGTACCATTGCCTACATTTTATATGTTAAGTGACGTTTGTCTCTGAATTAATTTCAGACTTTTAGCTTTCTTCTCTGAGTTAAGTTTATCAGTTCAGTTTTCCTGCTAATCACTATTCTATTCTTGTGTCAAGGAAATCTGTTATCCCTGAAGGATGCAGGTAGATGCCAAGGAATCTGCTCTGTTATCTCTGCACCACTGGCTGTCCTTCAAGAAAGTCTGCTCTATTATCACTGTGACACTCACTAGCCACACAGGTAGACACCACCAATGAGCTTTCCGTAACCACAAGATGGGTTTGTTGCTAGCCTGCATTCCCAATTTCCAGCCAATCACAGGAGCCCATGCCCATGATGCTATAAGCTTTGTAACTCATTATATAGTTTTCTCAACCTACGATGCTGCCTTTTAGTTTGGGGATGCTGCTCCTTCTGTCAATAAAAAACATTGTCTGCCCTCATTCGGGATCTTTTGGTATGCTGAAGAGCTAAAGACCCTTTTTACTGGTAACTGCTAGCTTTATCAATAAGCACAGAACTTTGTTTCTCACACTACCACCAAATGTTAGCCCTATTTGCAATGGTAAAATACTAGAAGCTTTCAAAATAAATAAGGAGGTTAATGTGAGATTATACCCTCTACTATTATTTTATTTAATTCTGGAAATGCTAACAACAGAAATAAGAGAAAAATTTAAAGACATAAGCAGTAAAGAAGAAATGAAATTATTTCTGTTTGCAAATGACAATATGATTTATTTAGAAAGCCCTAGAAAATAAACAAAGAAACGAATGAGATACTTAACAGGTTCAGTAAAATGAAATGATACAAAATAAAGAGTGGGAACAAATGATACAGAATTGTCACACTACCAAGAAATGCTCAAAATTTATATAAATGCAGTTACTAAATAATTTTTACATAAACAAATACATAGATTCTCCAACATTTTTGGAGAACTATGCATTGCTCATAATTGGCATGCCAACATTTTTAAAAAATTATACTACCTACCAAAATGTATAGATTTAATGTTAATAAAATAAGGGTTATTTTATAGCACTGGACAAGATAATAATAAAACTCATTTGGAGAAACATAAAGTCTAGAATCTTAAGAGAAACAATTTTTTTTAATGTAGGAATGAGGAAGATATAGTACTTTCTATGAAGCTATTTTATAAAGCAGTAATCAAAGAAACTATTTGATACTGGTTACAAAACTGAAGAGCAGATTAATGAAAGAGATTAGATAAATAACAACAGTGACAAACAATCACACTCAGTATAAAGCCAAAAACATAAACTACCAGGGGAAGGAATCCACATTCATTATGATAAAGGTAAGGGACTGGACCTCAGGTTTCCCTGGTAAGGACTCCCAGATGAGTAAACCCTCCATTAATGCAAGGTGGCACCATCTCTGCACCTTATATTGTTAGAGCTGCCTAAAACAGTAAGAGGTTGAGTTACATGCCCAAGGTCACAAAGTGTGTGTTATAGGTAGACTTGAATCTTGGCTCCAGACTAATTCTCTATTTACTATGCCAGAAGATAAGTGTGGGCAAACATTAAGGAGTGGAAAGAGGTATCTTTTTCAACTAGAGCTAGAGTGGATTTCTCACCTAACCTTAATCCCTGAATGGGTGTTGCCTCAGTCAAACTAAGATCTATTAAAGACCTTAGCTTACTGGACCATCTCCAGTTGTCCTGATCAATATCTGCCCAGCGGACCCAGATGGCTCAGGAAGAGAAAGCAAATAGCCATATCAAACATGTATGCATATATATATATATGTGCATGTGGGTGTGGATGTGGATGTGTGTGCACATGCATATTTGTCTGGAGTGAAAATTAATATATGGAAATATATGACTTCCCCAACAAAGCCGGTAACCCACTGATCCTGGTAGTCCTATTCATTGCAATCAAGAAATACAAAGCTTAAGGGCACTAGAAAGGAGAACAAAGCAGCTAGGCCTAGATGGCAGCCTTAGAACTCTCTTGATTTCCTCATTCTATCCTCTGGCTTCATAGACTTCAACTACAAACCCACTCAGGAGTTTTGCCAGCCTCAAGTTTGACACCTTTGATATAGAGAATGCTGATACCACACTGTGTTCCTGAAACAAAGATGGAGTTGGTGCCAGGGCTTCTTTAGAGAGAGACAGATGTGGTTTCAGAGACTCTTCGGGAGAGACATGTGGAGAGAGGAGCCACCAACATTCCACAAATTCTTCATAATATTAGGAAACTGAAGTATACACATAAACATCTGAGTGGAGATTCACACCCAGTTCTTTCTGACATCTGCAATAAAATGTAGCCTTGAGATCCTCTCCATCCTGCAAAAACCTGAAGGACTCCATATCACAAAGCCAACCAAGATTCAGAAAGTCACAACATGAAAATAATGAAAGATTGATGGCACTGGAAAAAGGGGGAAAAAACTTTTGAAATGATTGATTCTCCCTTTTGTAGCTACTGTTTTATCTTTTTCCTCTTGCTAGGCATATTGATATTGTCTGTGACTAACTGTGAGAACCAGGACAGGAGGAAGAAAGCGACATATTACTTCTTCCTGAATGGGAACATAATGACATTTGTGACAGACTTTTCAACCCCTTAAATCCTAGAGAGCCACTGAACAACTGCTTTTTTTTCCCCTTATGATGGCAAAGAACTGAGAGTCGGAGAATAAAGAGAGGCTTGTGAAAGGACAGAGAAGTGTCCTCCTTTTCTTTTATTTGTTCGCTCCTTATTTAATATCAGGGATATCAGTGGATGTCCACTGAGTATTTTCATTAAAGCCTAATTTCTTTGAAAAATGCTTCCTAAGAAACATTACAAACTGACAAAGCTTGCCAGTGAAAGTGGTCTTATAGCCCAAAAATGCATTTGAAAACATTAGCTGCTAATATAAACATCCACTACACACCTTCTTTCTTCCATAAGTTAAAAACCTATCCTTCTCCGCAGAATGCCAGCATAGCATATGCACTCTTAATATGTGTGTTTGCCACACACTAATATTACTCATGCTGCTGTTTTTGTTCTTACCACCCTGAAGTGAGAGTTTAGGGATGTGCTGTGGACTAGAACTTGGAAACTGAAATTGATGTGGACCAGGACCGCACACTGTCCCATCAGTTTTACGTAGATCCATGCTGAATGCTTATTTTTGTCCTTGATTTCCATAAATGGTCAATGCACTTTGACAACCTTCTTCCACATTTCTAACTGCTTGCCACGAAGGGTGGTGAATATAACGAGTGACCACAAGAACAAAAAGATGCTGATGACACATGATGGAAGACTTGATGAAAACTTTTGATCCGATCGGAAGGCTTGGAGAAAGATGGAGGGTTAGAGAACTACACCTCTACATGGTACAAAGTGATGGTTCAAAAGGTCCGCAGGAGAATGAAGACGATCTTCACTTCTTCTAGAGGATGCTTCCACTTGGAGGTACTGGATTAGTAAATAGGTTGCTGGATTTGAAATCAGAAGACCTGTGTTCAAAACCCAGCTATCCTACTTAGTATCTGTGCAACGTTCAACAAGACATTTGAATTTTCTGGGATCCAGATGTAAAACAAAAAAAAAAAATTAAAGTTATGAAGGGCTTACTTCATAACCTTGGAAGATATAATGCAAGAATTATTATCCCCATTTTACAGATAATGAAACAGAGTCTCTGAATGGAGAAGCAGCTTTCCCAGGACCTAGCTAGTAAGTACATAAGGCAGGATTCAAATTTCGATCCCCTGTCTAAGGTTCCTGGCAGCTCTAAATCTTATATTTTAGATGGAGATATCAGAGAGTTTGGGAATGAATTATTTCAATTTTCAGTAGAACTTTTTGTGATAGCAAAGAACTAGAAACAAGGTGAGTGCCCATTTATTGGGAAACAGCTAAACAGTTATACTAATGCAATGGGATTTTATTGTGCTGTAATGACAAATGTAAGAAATGAAGAAAAGAATGGGAAAACTCATGAATTGGCACAGAATTAAGTAAGAAAAATCATGAAAACTATGTAAACAATGACAATAATGTCAATGAAAAGAAGACTAAAGCAAATTCAAATGCTATGCAACTATAATGATTAATATTGGAACAAAGAGATGAAGAAAAGCACCTTTCTTCCTGAGTTGGAGAGCTGGCGAATTATGGGTGCAGATGTTGCCTAATCAGCCTTCAGAGGCTGGTAGCTGGTTTTGTTGAACTGTTTTTCTTTGTTATAAGGGAAAACTCTGTGGGATCAGTAACGTGATAGGGTATATCTGGACTACAAAAAACTGTTATAAAAAAACAAAGGGCATTCAATAAAATATTTTTATTACAGAGGATTAAGTATTATAATTGAAATGGGTTAATTTAGCTACTTCCTAGTAACTGTGTTTCCGGAGAAGTAATTGTGGTTATCTAGCTATAAATGGGTCAGTTTAAAAACTCTTTGGTAGTGAATGTCATTATACAGTTGTATCAGATGGCCTCTCCCAGCCCCATCTGGTTCACCTATAAAATAAAAGCTTGCTTACCTGAAGGTAGAAAGCAGAAGGGTGGATCACTTCAAATCTCTTCAAGCTGTCTAATTTATATCTGTGATCCTAGGATTCAGATCTGATTAAACCTATGATAGGAGAAGATGTTTCTAGAGTACACTGGCTGAGCTATCAGAAAGAAGTAGATTCTGTGTGTGTGTGTCTGTGTGTGCGTGTGTATACACACACATACTTATATAATACATATTTATTATTATAAATACAAAGTATATATTTATATATGTACATATATATACAGACACAGATGTATATTTATATAGATAGGTATACATATACACATATATGTATTTGTTCAGTTGTTCAGTTGTGTCTGACTCTGTGACTCTGGACCATAGCATAGCAGGCCCTTTCATCTTCCACTATCTCTATGACACTATCTATCCACCTCATCCCCTTTTCCTTTTGCCTTCAATCTTTCCCAACACCAGTATCTAAATGTGTGTGTGTATATATATATATATATATATACACACACACACACACACACACAACACACACACGTGTATGTGTGTGTCCAAAACAAAACTGCAAACTGATAACAAAAAAAAAACACCCTTGTTCCAAATTCTTAACGAGAGGAATGCACATTAAATCAACCCTGAGGTTTCTCCTCACACCCCAAAACTGGAAAAGTTGACAAAAGATGCAAACAGTCAGTATAAGATCTAGCCTCATTCGGCACACCTTTGATTACATGCTACAAGCATATAGTTGTTGATGGAAAAAAGAATCCTTTTTATAGACTTTCTTGTCTTTTATTTTTTCAAAATAGAGCTTTAAAGAAAACAAAATATGGTTTTTAAAATTTGTGGAATACATTTAAGGAACTGATTTTGGACCCTTTGTACATTTAATAGCCTAACCTTTATGTATTATATATATACATTATGTATAAATATATTTATTTATATACTGTTTGGAGTTCGTGTTCATTTTCTACTATAAAATCCATTTCATTAATTTTGTAGACTTTCCTAGAGGTACTTTGTTGTTGTTCAATCATTCAGTCACATCCAACTCTTCACAACCCCATCAAGCACAGCATGCCAGGCCTTTCTATTCTCCACTACGCTCTCTCCTGAAGTCTGTCCAAGCTCATGTTCATTGCTTCCATGACACTATCCACCCATCTCATCCTCTGCTGCCCCTTCTCCTTCTACCTTTAATTTTTCCCAACATCAGGGTCCTACCATCAGCGTCTTTTCCAATGAGCCCCATCTTCTCACTATGTAGCCAAAATATTTACCTTCAGCTTCAGTATTTGTGCTTCCAAAGAATAATCTGGATTAATTTAAGTACTGCCTGTTTTGACCTCCCTGCTGTCCAAGGGACTCTCAAAAGTCTTCTCCAGCACCACAACTGAAAAGAATCAATTCTGCAGTACTCATCTTTCCTTATAGTCCAACTCTCACTGCCATACATTACTACTGGAAAAAAATAGCTTTGATTATATGGACCTGAGTTGGTAAGGTGATAACTCTGCTTTTTAGTACAGATTTTGCCAGAGATTTCCTTCCAAGGAACAAGTGTTCTTCAATTTCATGGCTGCAGTCACCATCCTAAGAATATAAAATCTGACACTGCTTCCATTTCTTCTCCCTCTACTTGCCAGTAAGAGATAAGACCAATTGCCATGGTCTTAGTTTTTTTCATGTCAAGCTTCAGGCCACTCTCCTCTTTCACCCTATCACTTTCTGCAATCAGAGTAGTATTGTCTGCATATGTGAAATTGCTATTATTTTTCCCAGCAACCTTAATTCCAGATTTGGAATACTGTACTCTGTACATATGTACTCTGTGTGTGTGTGTGTGTGTGTGTATATGTACACACATATATATACACACACATATATATATACACACATATACTCTGCATATAAGTTAAATAAATAAGGTAACAATATACAGCTCTGTTGCACTCATTTCCCAATCTTAAACCAATCAGTTATTTTGTTTGGTTTTAGCTGTTGCTTCTTGACCTAAACACAAGTTCCTCAAGAGACAAATAAGATGATCTGGTATTCCCATCTCTTTGAGGACTTGCCACATTTTGTTGTGATTCACACAGTAAAAGGCTTTAGTGTAGTCATGCAAAAGAAGATCGTTTTGTTTTGTTTTTTTCTGAAGCTCCCTTTCTTTCTCCATAATCTAATGAATACCGGCAATTTAGTTTCTAGTTCATCTTCTTCTTCAAAAATCAGCCTGAATTTCTGATAATTCTTGGTTCATGTATGCTTAAGCCTAGCTTACAGAATCCTTACCATAACCACGCTGGCATGTGAAATAAGCCCAATTGCCCTTCTTTAGGATTGGGATGTAAACTGATCTTTTCTAATCCAGTGGCCACTGCTGAGTTTTCCAAATTTGCTGGCATGTTGAATGCAGCACTTTAACAGCATCATCTTTTAGGATTTTAAGTAGCTCAGTTGGAATTCTGTCACCTCCACTAGTCTTATTGTTAGCAATGCTTCCTAAAGCCCATATGACTTCATTCTCTGGCTCTAAATCAGTAACCACACCATTGTCCTTATAGATGATGTTAAGATCTTTCTTGTGTAGTTCTGTATATTTTTGCCACCTCTTCTTAATCACTTCTGCTTCTGTTAAGTCCCTCCCATTTTTACCATGCATATTTTTGCTTGAAACATTCCCTTGATACCTCTAATTTTCTTAAATAGATCTCGTCTTTCCCATTCTCATTTTATTTTTTTTTACACTGCTCATTTATGAAAACCTCATCTTTCCTTGCTATTCTCTGGCATTCCACATTCAGCTGGGCAAGTCTTTCCCTTTCTCCTTCAACTCTCTTCCTTCTTTCCTCAGCTATTTGTTTAACCTCATCAAGAAGTCATTTTCCTTTTTTGTTCTTTTTCTTTGAAGTGTTTTTTGTTGCTGCCTCCTACAGAATATCGCAACCCTCTGTCCACAGTTCTTCAGGTGCTCTACCAGATCTAATACCTTAAATCTATTCATAAGAGATGTTATTTAGATCTTACCTAAATGTTCTGATGGTTTTCCCTAGTTTCTTCAATTTAAGTCTGAATTTTGCAACAAAAAAATCGGTGATCTGAGCCATAGTCAGCTCCCAGTTTTGTTTTAACCAACAATATATAGTTTTTCCACCTTTGGCTGCAAAGTATATTATCAACCTGATTTCAGTCTTGACCATATGGTTATGTCCATATGAAGAGCCACCTTTTGAGTTGTTGAAAAAGAATGTGCTATGACCAGCAGATTTGCTTATGTTAAAAACCTTAAAAAGTATTGGCTTGTAAAGGTCCACTTTTCATATATTTATAAATATATATTTTTAAACCAAATTGTTTGCAATAGAGAAACACTAGATTTCCTAAGACATACTGGAACAAAGTAAGGATTCCCGTTCTCCCCACAATTATTTGACACTGCTATAGCAGTAAGATGAAATTTTAAAAAATAATAAAAAGTATGAACACTGGAAAAGAGGAGAAAAAACTATCCCTATTAATAGATGACATGATAGTATAGTAAGAAAAACCCACAGAACAGCAACAAAATGAAGACTACAAATAGCTTCAGGAAAAGATACAAAATAATTCACAAAAATCAACATTTCTATGAAGTATTGACAAAAACTAGGAAGAAGCAATGTCTTGAAATTAAATTCAAAATAAATAATAAATATTAATGATAAATCCATTAAATATCTGAGAATTGACATACCAAGATACACATAAGATTTAGCATAATCAAAAGTATATATTCAAAACCAAGAACTAACTTCTTTGCAATGGAAAAATATTATATAACTTATAACACTTTTTAAGGCCATAAAAGAATACAAACAACTGGAAAAATACCAATTATTCAGGGTTGGCCCATAACAATATAATGAAAATGGCAATACTAACCAAATTAATTTGTAGCTTTAGCAGTAGAGGAAACAAATTAATGAAGGGATGCTTTTTAGAACAAGACAAAATAACAAATTATAATTATTTTGATTACATTGTTATTCAAAATTACTTTCATTTGGAAAAACAAAAAGTACAGATTCTAGGAAGAAATGATGAGCAAAAGCATTTAGAGATAATAGCTTTACCAGACCTCAAATTATAGAGGGTATCCCAAAATTCTCTTAAGCCCTTTATTATATTATTATATTATTATAAAGCAGTACTTACGAAACCTTTTTTGGTACTGGTTAAAAAATAGAAAAGTAGATCAGTAAGACAAAGCAGACAAGGAAGAATCAGAAATAACTGAACCAAATAACCTAGTATTCAACAAACCTGAAAAGAAATTATATAAGAAAGAACATCCTAATTGGCAAGAGCTGCTAGGAAAACTAGGAAGTACTCTGGTAGAAATCAGAATATATTGTATACTATAATAAACTACTATATATCACATTAAACTCAAAATGTATACATGACCTGAGAATAAAAGATCACACCATAAAAAAGTTAGAAGTTACATTTATTTTACAAAAAAGACTAGGGGAAGAGTTCTTAATCAAATAAATGATAGAGGACATCTTAAAAGACAAAAAGAGGCAATCTATCTCAACATACACTTTTTTAAAGAGAATTTAACTACAATTTTGCAGTTCCTACAATCATTTTTGCTGTTGCTGACACTATCATGTCAGATAGTGGTTTCAGTCTTGAATAATATCACCCCATGTCTATCCTCAAGCAGAACCTTAAAGATCTACAATGAGGAGAAACACCACTTTCAGAAGCCATGCACCCTACTTTGGGATTGATCTGATTGTTAGGGTAATTTTCCTTACATCAATCTGAAATATGCTCTTTTTGCAGACTGTTTTACAATGGTAATTTGTTTTTAGATAGTAATAATTTCCCACCCTTCCTCTAGTACTGCAGGAGATCAAAAGCGGAGGAACCCCTTTCTCATTACAAAGAATGGCTTGCTGGGCGGGGCTATGGTCAGATATTTAGGTGATGCAAAAACTGAAGACATCAATCCACCTTAAAAATATTGAGAAAAGCTTTTTAACTTTATGTAGTCTGTAAAATGGGGATTTATAATAGCACTTATCTCCCAAGGTTGTTGTAAGGATCAAAAGGATAATACTTGCAAAACACTTAGCCCAGTGACTGGCACATAAGAGGTGCTACATAAATGCTACCTATGATGATGATGACAATATGCCAAGCACTGCACTAAGATTAAAGAGGACTGTGAAAAACTGCTTGCAGAAAATGGGACTCTAACTGAGATTTGAAGGAAAGAAGGGAAGCTAGGGGATGGAGAGGATAAGGAGAGATTTCTAGATATCAGGGACAGCCAATAAAAATGCAGAGTTGGGAGATGGAACATTATATTCAAGAAACAGTTAAAAAAAAAAGCCAGTGTCATTAGATTGTACAGTCTGTAAACGAAAGTAAGGTATAAAACAACTGCATCTGCCTCTTCTAGTCACAGGTTCTAATCCTGCCCACTGAGGTCAAGAAAAATAATTTTAATCCCTGTCTTACTGGCCATTTCCTAAAAAATAAAATAAAAATAAAATAAAGTGAGGACAGCTATCATCCTCCAGTCCCCAAGGCTTCTCACCTCTAGGACAAAGACTGTGCCCTGGAGAATCCCAGTACATGTTTTTTATCTCTTTATATGCCCGCTCTAAAATTCCTGATTCTCTAACTTTATTACCCTTCAAAGGGCACTACCCTTCCTTAAAGGTTTTTTCAATGACTCCGGTCAGCGGTCTAAGGTGTGGCTTCTTCAGTGTGGCTATTAATCATCCCTTGTCCACAGGTGGGAAAAATCCTAGAGGTGAGGCCACACCTCAAGGAAAGCCAGGATGGTACTGAATACCAGCGTCCAAGGTCCTCCACTAGCAGGACTTTTCTCTATCTTTTATATCATCAGTTCCTCATTTTCTCTTATCTCCACCAGGAAAACATTGCTTCTACCAATTAATTTAATACTGGAAGTGCTGAATCAAAGGACATCTATCGTATAAGATCCATGTTATACAGTCTATCCAGGCAAATAAAAGGTCTCTGAACAACAAAGAAGGTGGGATAATTTATAAACCTAATGAAGGAAAGTCCTGAGATTTGTTTGGGGAAGACTTAAAGTATTCCTAACTTTTGAGTTATAGGTCTTCAAACAGAAGGGACAAGAGGACAAGGTAAGTATTGGGACAGAAAAAATGACCTTAGATATTCACTGTGTGATATATAAAAGGTCAAGAGACATCGTTTCTGGATAATTATTTTATTAATAATGCTAGCATATTAATAATGTGGGTTTTTTGCCATTTCTCTTGGACCAGCAACCAATCATGGAGCCCACTCAATACTTACATGCCCCTTGAAGAGCGGGTGTTCCTGAGCATGGAAATCAACTATGATTGGTTAAAAATTAATAGAGTGAATATCATAATGAGAGGTGGGCCTATTCTAATGAAGGGCTGGGGTACTGATTCTGATCACTTCGTCTTAGTCAGAGAGACTTATCTATGTTACTATCACCTGTCTGACAAAAGGGAGAATCTATATTTTCCCAGACAGTTCTTCCTCTCAGTATCAGCCCTGCACTTCAAAGGCTGCCAGAGTAACCTACAGAGGCTGATGAAGTAGGAAAAGGGAAAATCTTTGGTCCTAATTCAATAATTAGTTATTAAATACAAGAAAGACATAATCATTTCTCTCAACTGGGTATGAACTATGAACTATGTGAATGGCAACATCCTATGAGGGTACAAGGATAAAGAAGACATTGCCCTTGAGAAACTTAATAGTTTAGATCAGGGATCCTTAGCTTTTTGTGTCATGGACCTTTTTGCCAGTATAGTGAGGCCTATGGACTCCTCAGAATAACGTTTTCAAATGCATAAGATAAAATACATAGAATTACAACAGAAACCAAAGGTTAGTGAAAATAAAGATGTCATTTTTTTTCCATCCAAGTTCACAGACTCCTTGAAATCTACTGCAGGTTTTGATAGTAGTGACAGCAGCTGAGGGAGTATAAAAAGAAAACCGTGAAAGGCTAAAAAGAACAATGAGATTTAAATGACAAATTCAATGCAATAACAGAAAAAAAAGTTTTCAGGCTGTATGTGGTTAATTCCTAAGCAAATGGTATAAACAATAAGTTCTACAAAACTCTCAGGAAGGAAAGATCACCTGAAGCTGGGGTGGTCCCAGAAGGTCACTAGGAAAAGGTGGAACATGAACCTGGATTTGAAAAAGGGGGGAGAGGCCAGACAGGCACAGAGGTGATGTAGCTTTTTCAAATGAACTTCCAATAAATGCTTGTGAGAGAAACAGCCACATGACCCTTTCTTTCCCTCTAAGCCAATCCAACTTGTGGATTGGTCCCTAAATTTAGCCAGAAATGGGAAGCATAAAGGGAAGGAGGAGGGTGAGAAGATATAACGAGAAAACACAGTGTGTGGTATTGTGCATAAAAAAGCTGAGGGGTTTTCCATACAGATGAAATAAAAAGGAATCCACCAAAACTTGAAAATGAGAATGACGTTCAAGACAAACAAAAATACTTCAGCAGAATTTCATTTGTGGCATCAAACATTCCAAATGGCCCTACCAAATTTTGTTCCCACCATGTCAAATTACTGACCTTGAAACTAAAACTGAAAGGAGATATTTATCTGACATGTACAGATCCTGAGGATGACTAACATCACAGACCAGGTAAGCCTGAAGTTGACATCTGATTTAGAGAAAAAGGCCAAATTCAATTCAACAAGCTATTATTAAGTATCTCTCAAATGTAAAGAAATGTGCTAGGTACTGGCGATAGAAAGAAACTAAACACTCTCTATCCTTGAGAAATTTACTTTTCTACTAGGATTTACAAAAAGAAAAACCAAAGCATATACAAAGTAATAAACAAGTGATTTCAAGAAAGAGAAGGCATTGGCAGGGATCTCAGGGCTGGCAGCTCAGAGCTTTCTGAGTCCAGTCTGCGTCGCAATAAGTCTTCTCTGCAAACACCTGCAGGAAGGAGCAAGCGCCCCTCCCATCACCATCTTCATCACCCTCTCTGGTACAGTTTCCAACTTGTCATGTCCTCCTTAAAATGTGGTGGCTGGCTGAAATTCAACCTCAGACACTCACTAGCAAAGACTCTGACTGAATCGCTTCGCCTCTGTCTGCCTCAGTTTCCTCAACTGGAAAATGGGAATAGTATCGGCACCCACCTCACAAAGTCGCTGTGGGGCTCGGATAGAAATGCTCGTTCCTTTCCCCTTCCTCTCCCTTCCAACTCTGACAGAAGCCTGTGGCTCATTCCCGCCCTCTGTCACTGCCCCTGTTCTCCTCAGTCTCCCCTAGGCCCTCTAAACCGTCACTGCTTCTCACCTAGGCAGTCTCACCTGCGCCTAGGTCTGATAGAAGGAAGGTGGATGCGAAGCTCTGAGCCTGCGGTCACGTGCCGGTGCGTGGTCAGGGGCGTAGCTTAGCTGAGGGACTGGGAGGGGTTTGGTGGAGTGCGCCTGCGCCAGCACCTGGGCGGGGCCTGAGGGCAGCTCTCCTTCCGGGTCGCTGGCGAAGGTTCACTTTTTCGGCCTTTTAACCCGGAAGCTCCCTCAGCTCAGGATTGAGCCGAAGGGGCGGGAGGTGGGAAGAGGAGAACTTTGGCAAGCCCCGCGAGATGGTCTGAGACTTCTTACCTTCTCGCGAGACCTCTCAGCTTCTCAGGGGCAAGTCTCTTTCAAAAGTGAGCCTCGGGGGCCAGCTAGGTGGCGCAGTGGATAGAGCACCGGCCCTGTATTCAGAAGGACATAAGGTCGAATGACACATAACACTTACTAGCTGTGTAACCCTGGGCAAGTCGCTTAACCCCATTGCTGAGCCAAAAAAAAAAAACAGCCTCACTTATTTCAGAAATCCTTTGCTCTCTCTTCCTCTTGAAAAACCCCTCAAATAACCTTCATGTTCATTCAGTCAAACAAAAAGCGTTTAATAAATGCAGCCCTATGTGGGATGCACTGTGCTTGGTGCTGGAGATAGAAGTGGGACAGCAAGCATTTATTAAGCACCTCCTGTGTGCCAGGCACTATGCTATATGCTTACAAAAATTAACTCATTTGATCCTCACAATGACCCAGGGACGTAGGTGCTACTATTATCCTCATTTTTACAGCTGAGGAAATTGAGTCAGAGGTTAAGTGACTTGCCAAGGTTCATGCCTCTAAGGCCATGTTTGAACTCACATCTTCTGGACTCCCGTCCCAGAGCTCTGTCCATCTAGCCACTTAGAACCAAGAACGAACCAATCCCTACTTACAAAAAAGGTTGTATTTTACTTGGAGAGATAAGTGCATTCGGAAGCATATTTATAGAATGGATATTCAGAAAGGAAATACAAAGTACTTCAATAAAAGATTTTCTGAAAGGGACTGAAGGTCGAAGGTTTTGTAGAGAAAGTAGTATTTGAACTGTCTTGAAGGAAGAGAAATTAAGTGAGGTGGAGGTGAGGAGGGAACGTGTGCCCTTGAAAGGCGCCGAGGTGAGAGAGAGGGAATCACACGGGAAGAACAGAAAGAACAGAACATGCCGGTTTGTCTAGAACAGAAGAGTTCAGGAAGAAGAATCTACAAGAATAGGTTGGGGCCAGTCTGAAAAGAGCTTTCAAAACTAAACAAATGCGTTAATATTTTTTCTTAGAACCAATAAGGAGCCACTAGAGTTTACTGACTAGAAGACTAGCCTGAGCTTAAAGAAAGTTACTTTAGCAGCAATATGGAGGATAGGGTGCAGTTGGGAGAGTCTTGAGGCAGGGAGACCAGCTGGGAGTCAATCATCTAGGTGAAAGAGGAGGAGGCCCTGAACTAAGATGGTTAGAGAGAAGGAGTAAGATGGGAGAGACGTTGTGGAGGTAGAAATGATAACATTTGGCAACTTGGGGTTGAGAATGCAGGGTCAAAAATAGTGCTGAGGCTATGAACGTGGAAGATTGAAAGAATGGTGGTGAGTTCGACAGAAATAGACAAGTCTGGAAGAGGGCTTTTCTGATAGCAGAGGCCTACCACTTCATCATACAAGCAAGAAAATTGAGACATAGGGAGATGAGGTAACTTGGCCAAGGTTACACTCTTAGTTCTTATGCAAAATGCTCCAGGCTTGAAACCTGGGTTACAGTACCATACCTGGAGCTCAAACCAATTTCCCAGCTCTTACTTGAATACTCTTTTCAATACAATGTGCTGTCATTATCGATTAAGAAAGCCAGAACAGCCAAGCTCGGGGGCATCAGGATAGTTATAGGTAATAATGTGAGAACCGTGCAACTGTCTCTTTCACACTGTGGCTTCCTGCAAGCAACAGATAAAAAAGCGTGAGGAAATAGAACATCTGGCTACTAATAATAGTTTTACCTAAGTTGCTGCTCTTGATCAAATGTTTATTTTGGAAGGAGCATGATAGTGATTCAGATGAAATTCTTCATGATGCATCAGTGAAGAGGGTGATTTTCGCTGTGTTTACCTGTGTTGTGTGAAGAAGGGGTACTGGACCATGATGTTGGCCAATTCAAGTTTTGAGCCCAAGGAACATTAAAAGGTTTAATGATGAGTCAAAATCTACATGAGAAGCTGTTCTACATTTACATTAACAACCTCTTTTAAGCCCTTACCTACTGCAAGCCCCTGACATGTTGCCTCCAATTAGACCAAGGAATGTATATTAAGATTTAAATTTTAAAAGTTTATATTGTTTGAAAATATTTTCTATAAGAATATCAATTGATCAACAAAAATTTATGGAGCACCTGCCACATGCCAGAATTCATCATGTCAGGTAGAAGGGTGTGGGGAATGGGAAGGGAGACAGGTGAGTATAAAGAAATATAAAACACAGTTGCCACCCAAAAGGAGTTTACAATCTAGTTGAGGAAGTACGAAATGTATATGTGAAAAAATAACTAATAATTTTTGACATTCTATGTCTGGTTTTAACATGAGTTCTTCAGAGTGCTCCAGAGATGTTGCCTAAAAAACAGCCAGGATGGTCTCTGAAGTCTCTGGAAGGAAAATGGTAAGTAATTGGGTTTTGAAACCCTGCAATAACTGGATTTCTGCTTAAAGATCTCTGGAGATGATAGCTTAGTCTTCTGTTTGCTTTAGACCTTGGCACTAATCTGCCAAATGATCAGCAAAGGAAACAGTTTGAACTAGCCTCCAACTCACAATAATAACTGATCCACATGGTCTTCTAAAGTTTACCAACTAATTTATATGCTTTATCTCATTTAAACCTCACAATAACCCTGTGAGGTAGATGGATATTATTCCTGTTCTTTAGAGGGAAAAAATTAAATTGGACATGTGAAATGACTTGCCCTATGTCATACAGCTAGTACCAAAGGCAGAATTTGAACTCTTACTTTTCTAACCCTAAGAGAAACATTCTCCCGGGATGTGGTGGAGCCAGCTCATACTGGCTGGAGAGAAAAGATTGTTGAATTCCATTTAGACATTGGAAATTGACTCATACTACAAATCAGAGCTTTGATTTGTTGTGTCGAGGTTAATAAATGTTGATTGATTGATTGGACTCAATAAGGTAATGGAGAAAATATTAATAATGGAGATTAATTTTAAGAGGATCTTTTGTGTGTTTTTGGAGAGTCAGTTGTTAAATGTTTAACACTGTAGCATCCAGTACACTATGTTGTTTCTCAGTGTTCAGAAAAGGTCTGTCTGGGAGCCAGCAATGCTTGTAAAGGCTTCTCCCGTCAGACACACCGATTTAAGTTCCCAGTTATAACAAAACAGCCAACTCAGAGAGGCATCTCAAGAGCTGCCAAAAGAAACGAGAGAACACCAAGGATATTGCTTTCGGCAAGTATGGCGGCCAAAGGAATGTGGTGCTGATTCTGTTGCACGGACTCTGTCTGTGTTGTGCCCACACCAGGCAACGTTGGAATGGGAGTTATTCCATAGTTGTTCCAAAATCTCTGCGGTTTTGTCGGGCTCTCTCCCAAGCCTGCAAGAGTCTCCTTTCTCACCTTTGCCACGCAGAATTCCAGCTTCCTTCAAAGCTCAGCTCAGGCACCCCCTCCTGTAGGATCCCTTTCCTGATCACTCTCCAACCCCAATATTATTTTGCATTTATACAGGGTGTCCCCAAAGTCTTTGTGCAGTTTTAAGCTTAATAGATTAAGGAGCCTAAAACAACTCCAAGATTTTGGCGACATCCTGTGTTTTGTATATATTGTTTCCCTAAAGAAGGATGTAAGGTCTTTCTATTCCCAGTGTTTAGCACTGTGCCAGGCCCACAGAAGGCAGAGCTGACCGTGTCACTCCCTCACTGAACAAACTTCCTACTGCTTCTAGGATGAAATATAAACTCCTATGTTTAGCTTTTAAGTCTCTTTATAACCTGGCCCCAACCTCATCATACATTGTTTCTCCTCGCTATACTCTATGATCCAACCGAACTGGTCTTCTCTGTTCCTCATACAGGACATTCCATCTACTCTCTGCATGCCCTTGTACTAGCCATCCCCTAATCGTGGAATGCACCCTCTCCTTACCTCTGCCTCAGAACCCCTCTCTTCCTTCAGGACACAGCCAGCTCATACCACCTTCTACATGAAGCCTTTCCTGACCTCCCAACAGCTGGTGGCCTCCTCCTTAAATGCCTTATATTTATTTTACCTTTATCATCTTTTTAAACTTTATTGTATTTCTTTAAAAAAAATACACATGCAAACACATGTATATATTTATTAATATAAACACAAATGAGGAAATCTGTGGATGGAAAAAGAGGAGCTATCAAAGGAGACTAATGTGGATATACAGAGACCTTAACTTAAATATTTCAAGGATGTGTATAGAGAAAAGAGAGGCATTATGGTATTGTATAGAGAGCTGACCTGAAAGCCAGGAAGACCTAGGTTCAAATCACCTCTGACATATACTAGCTTTGTGACCTTGGGCAAGTCATTTGACTTCTAAATACTCTAAGGCTACAAGTTGTAGAGAAGGTATTAATGTGCATTAGTAGAGAGAGATTACTCACCTGAGCATTCCCTAAATTAAAGAAATCACAGGTCTAATCCTGTCCCTATGTATGGAAAATGGAAATGAGAGCAGGTTCCAGGGGATTTTAAAAATAGCCTTACAGGAAGAGTGTCAGGAACCCTAATTTCAGAATGAGTGAAATGGACAATTCAAAAGACAAAGAGATTTTTTTTAGCTACGTGAAGACCAAGAGGAAGATTTATGATGAACATTGAAGAAAAGGTAGAACTGGCAAACTCCTATTTTGCTTTCCTTTTCTCTACCTGGAGAGTGATTTTTATACCAGGAAGAACAGAACAAACCTATTTAGCAGAAGGTAGAAAACCAAGGTATTGTAAGTTGTAACAGTAAGGTGTTACGGGCTGCACAGCACTTGTAATTTGTTTCACAAGTTCGAATTTGCACCCACAA